GTCTTTATCATCGATTAAGATATCCATCGGTGTATTTAAGTCATAGATGTTATGTTCAGAAAGACCAGTGCCAGCCACGGCTATACCTTCTGGATTCCAGCATTCTTGAAGTTTTACTATAGAAAGAAAAAAAAATTGAGACAGTAAGCAGGATATGTTGAGTAGTCCACAAAATTATGTTGTCCTCCACCTGAAAATCTCTACATTCAGACAAGATCAGATAAAATCGAAGAATATCCGGTTAGATAGGGCGTCAATAGACCAGTCTAAAACATATGTTGCTGCTAACGAGGGAATCTTTCCAACTTTTACCTCGTTTTTTGAATGAAACCAGGTGAATCATAGGTTATCGACTATGCTAGTTAGTTTTTTCCTTATTTCTGTAGCTTTAAGCTGACAATAAACATTTAGGGCTTTTCTTCTAAAATCTATAACTTTGGAAAGAAGGGTCGTGTAGAGCTGGAAGAGGTCTCATTTTAATCAGAAAATCCAACCAAAGAACGAGGTAACAGTTGGAAAGGTTTCCTGGTAAGTTTTTATTTAGGCCAACGGATATTTAACTCTAAAAGCTGCATAGAAAATCGTTTTTTTTTCTAGAAACTTATAAGGGTTCTAAGAAACATCATGAGGAAAATGTCTGAATCGAGAAAACATTTAGAATGCAGATTATTATCTAACATAGAACTTTTGGCTTACCGCCAAGCATAAGAGTAGAAGGGTCGCTAAGAACATTTGGTGGAAAGGGTTCTTGAGCGCACTTTGCTAACACTTAGAAAATTTTTCAACGTGAAGTTGTATTTAGGCGTTATACTACTTTTGAAAGAAATGATCCAGACAAAGTCCAAATGTACACTCTATTACACTTTCGCAAGAATTATCCACTACCGTGTGAAATAAGAAATACTGTATATAACTTACATAACTTACCTCCTTTCTGTTTTTGCCTGTTGCATTTTATTAACAGAGCACTCGTCAGAGCCAGAGAAGCTAATAAAACTACAGATAATATTGTTAAGTGCAACAAGATAACAAAATAACGTTGTTTCACTAGTGTTAAGAACATATTCTTTTTCTTAAGTGTCGTCGTTTTTGTTTCTGTCGCTATACACACAGTGTTATTGCCGCATAATATATCATTATCTTTCACTATGCCATTATGTGATGGTAAAAGTGATTGTGAGACAAATGCTTTGTGTTCGCTGGTATCATGCTCTATAATATAAAAGAAACGATAATGCGACGTTTTGTAACACAACGTTTCGTCTTATGCAATTCTACGAAAAAATTGCTACGTTCACTTCCGTAATTGTTTAGGATACTCACCGTCGAAAGTTCTATTGTTGCAATATTTATCTATTTCATTATAAGGTATTAACGTTTTCCATGGATTTGAGTCAGACGTTGATGGCGTATCTGTTTGATGGTATGATTGGTAAAGCTCATTATATTCTAAGAAAAGAACACAAACGAAAAAATGAGTTTTGTTTTCCTATTTGAGTACATTATACCTTTCAGTCGTTCAGCAGCATTATAACAGTTTATTTCTTGAAATTTACCAATTAAGTACGTAGAATCATGTTCAGAAATGATATTCATATCAAAAAGAGTTTCCAGTATATTTAATGTTCCATCTAATGATGTATTATCTCTTAAACGTCTTGAAATCGTAGCACCGAATGAAAAATGAAGGCGGCGACGATCATTATCAGATAATAAGTCTTGCACAATTAACAGAATCGAACGTAAATGAGGTCGATGGTTAATCATCGTTGTTCACTACACGTAATACATCAAGACGATTTAATAACAAAACACATTTACCCTTATCTCCACGCTACACATACTAACATTAATGGAAAGAAACGAACAAAAACAAGAAATTCTATACCTGCGCTATAGAGCATACAGGACAAAAAGAAAGAATAGATACAAAACTGACTCTTTTATTTACAAGTTTTAATCAATCAAAAACCTTGATACTGCAGACAGACTTAGGGAAGCCGTCAAAAGTCGCATCGGTGAATAAATTCACCGGTAATTTGATTGGAACAAAATTGAGAAGTGTTATTCAATATGCCTGAGAAAAAGAATATGGAACTATCGTATAACAGAATGACGATGTATATATATATTCTTCTCTGTACTATACTTGACTGGATGTTCTTTTTCTTTCTAGAGAGAGATATAAAGCAAGAAGTGGAGAAAAGAACAAATTTTATCGTTTTATCAAAAGGAAAGATTCCCTTTACTATGAAATTAGTGTTTATTCTGGCAAATTCCCGGATTAAAAAGTTAACAAATTTGACGGTACCCTTCCTCAGCTTTTCTGGCAGTTTGTAGTACACAACTCGTACTCTATACTATACTATTTTTTAGAGAAAGCTCTCTTTAATTTTTTGGCATATAGAGATCTCAATATTGCAGACTAAAGTTAGTAAAATGTATGTTAAAATCACTATTAAATTGAAACGGATCCATTGTACTAACTTTTATCTATGATACTGACAGCTCTATTTCTTAAAAACTAAAAGAACCTGTTTCTGAAAAATATGGCAAATATATTACACTTTATGTATTTTAAATTGGTGTAAGAAGTGAAAAGGATTCCTCTTTAAATATTCCAGTTTTGATTAGCCAATTGAGCAGAATGTAGAATTACTTTGTAGTACATTCTTGTTGCTTCATTTTTAGAAAATCTCAGAAATATCTTGAATAAATATTACTATATTTTGAATATAGAATGTTGAATATGGAACATCATCCTATTTGTCTTGTATAAAAACTACCAAAGTCTGTGAAACTTTACAAAAACCTCGATTCCGAACAGGTATAATTTATTTATTTTTAGAGACATTTCATGACTCTATCGACCAACCGCCGGAAAGGCCATAGCACGATTAAAAAGTTTCTACTTTTCTTCTCCATACAAAGAAGTGGACACTGCTGAAAAAATACTGCATTTATCACCCATATAAGTGAAAACTAACCATAATAACTGCAGAGTTGTTTTATCCGTACTTGCCTTGCGTGTTTTAATAGTTATTGCTGTAGCTGATGCTTTTTCATAGCAGCTGTTTGCCACTTGTTATTGTATGCTGGTTGTGTGACAGAAAATATTTGTTTACTTTCTTACATACT